GGACCCCCCCCGGCTCTTGTCCCCCCGCCCCCGGGATCCCGGCTCCCAGGAGCTGGCGGCAGCCCCCGCGGTGCCCGGCCCGTGCCCGGCTTTGCCCAGCCCCTCCCCCGTCGGCGAGTGCCGGGGCCCGCGGGTGTCCTGTGGCCGGTGCCCGCGGCTGTGGTTTGGCAAAGGCGGCGGTTTCCTGCCCGCGGTCTGTGGGGTCCGCTCATCCCTTCCGTGCTGTCCCTTTGCTGCAGGTGAAATTCTCCTTCCCTGGCTGCGTGCGGCGCCCGTGCTGGCCGCGGTCCTGCCCAGGCAGGTGGCGCGAGCTCAGGGCTGGCCCGGGATCGAGCTGCAGCCCCAGAGGAAGCCCTCGGCCGGGCCCAGGCTGGCAGGGGCAGGAGAATGAGTGGGCAGCGTGTGGATGTCAAAGTAGTGATGCTGGGAAAGGAGTATGTGGGCAAGACCAGCCTGGTGGAGAGATATGTCCATAACCGCTTCCTCGTTGGACCCTATCAAAACGTAAGCGTGTCCCTCCGCCCCAGCTGCCTCGGGGAGCCCCTGGGAGGAGGCCGGCTGCCCGCCCCACTCCTGGGGGACTCGAATGGCTAAAGGGGACCTTGATCATGTTCACAAGGCAGCTGAGTTGCATGAGATTCCTCACAGCTGGGATGCCAGCAACTGGGAGCAGAACATTGGCCAGGCCCCTGGAGGCGGGTCTGGCTCCCGGGCTGCATCTGGCCTGTCCCCCCACAGCCCGGCTTGTCTCGCCTACCCGTAGAAAGCTTTGCAAAGACTCCTTTGAAATTCCAGCTGAAGGTTTTCTTTCCAGCCAAGTCCCTTGGGTCGGTGCTTGAGAATCAGTGACCACAACTAGAAACAAAGTGGAGCTGTCCAAAGAGAGCCACACGACGGCTAGTGCAAATGAGCGTGGGCGAGGGAATTGGCTAGTAGGGAGACCAGACAGGAAACCTACTGTCCCTCTAAGGGGATTGGCAAGCTGAGAGGCGAAGCCTGGGGCAATACTGAGCCAACTGCTGCTTCCATCTCTTCTATTTCTGTTTAGACGATCGGGGCTGCGTTTGTGGCCAAAGTGATGTCAGTCAGGGGCCGGACAGTAACCTTGGGGATCTGGGTAAGTCTGATCTGAAATGGCTTCATGACCTTGCCAGCAGCTCTAGGGGCTTTGAAAGCGGGGAAAGCCCCACAGGTTTCTGATTGGGAACTGCTGTGGAAAAGGGTCCCCTGGAAGCTGGGGGCTCTGCATGGAGCGCGTTGAGCAGCTGGCTTCTCACTGGGCCATCTCTAAGTCCTAGCTAGGGTAAACTTCCCTGTTCTCTTGTTGCTGGTGCCTCCGCTTGGCTGGGCGGGAGGCGCAGAGCAAGGCTGTGGGATCTCTCCCATGGGGCACGGAAAGTGATGGCTTTTCTATTGTTCTTCCTAGGACACGGCCGGGTCGGAGCGCTACGAGGCCATGAGTCGGATATACTACCGAGGGGCCAGAGCTGCCATTGTGTGTTATGGTAAGGGCTTTGCCCAGGGCGCCTGGCTGTCACTGCAGCCACGCTGTTCCCAGCACCTCTGTGATCCTCACCCTGGAGCCTGTGCTGGTCACTGGTCTGCAGTGGGGAGAGAGGGAGCTCCCTCTGAAGGAAATGAGGCAATCCACCCCCAGCCCTCTGAGCGGGGGAGGCAGAGCCCCTGGCCGTATGCTGCTAGCTCCCATCTATTTCTTTATTCCCTGGAGGGGAGAATTTTCAATGTTCTACCCAGCCCACGACTGGGCTCAGCTACCAGCTGGAGGGTGGCACCTGCCCACACCCCAGCACCGAGGCAGCTTTCTGGCTGCTTGAGAGGGTCCCCAGTGCTGCCGAAGCGTTCAACCCTTAGCCGAACTCCTCCACTAAGCATCTGTTTGTGCTGGCTGGGGGTCTTGCTGCGCTCCGTGCAGGCATGGGGCAGGCCGTGGCTTGGGGAGGGGCCAGCGCCTGACTGCTCCCATCTCCTAGATCTCACGGATAGCAGCAGCTTTCAGCGAGCTAAGTTCTGGGTGACCGAGCTGCAGAACTTCGAGGAGGTGAGTTGCTGTCTGCTCCCAGCCTGGGGCCATGGGCAGGGGAGAAGTGGGAGGTTCTGAAGCTGCTCTGGGGAGTGGGGTTAGTTCACGGTTTCCTTTTGGAGACGCTGAGCGGGGCGAACAGTTGGAGGGATTTTCCTTCCTTTGAGGAGCCGTTTCCAGGAGCTGCGAGGGCAGTGAGCCCTGATGCACTCAGCCCAGCATGCAGCAGCCTGTTGTCAGAGGCTACCGGTGTGGTGCTTCTGCTTTCTCCTGTTGATATCACTCGGCTGCGTGCGTGTGTTCCCTCTGTGTGCTGCCCCAGCTCTGCGCAGATAGCTGACACAGCAGACCGACGAGAACCCCCAATAACCACAGAGTCTACTAAGATACAAAGGCACCTCGGCCAGGTTTATTGCGATCTCGGACACAATTGCAGTTCCCTGTAGGTTTCTGAGCCTCATTCAGGGCATACTACGAGAAAAGTGCCTCTTGGCAAGGACCCGGCTCAGTGGCAGGACTTTCCACTGCCCCCGTGGCCGGACAAAGACACCACCCCAGGGACACATTCTTATACACAGGTACAAACAAGTTACACATCACTCCTGACGTATTGAGGTGCAACCCCTCTACGTAGCAAGGTACAACCCCTCTATGCAGTAAGGTGCCGCCTCGCACCTTGTACCTGTTGGTTCGATCAAAACAACTCTATCCATCATTTTACCCTTTTGCCCCTGTCATTGGGATGGGTCGGCCTGTTCCATGTTATCTGTGGAATGTTCCGGTATGGTATGTTTTGGTACCATGTTTATACTGTAACTATGCTAAATGAATATGTATTTCTGCAACATCAGCCCTTTCCTTGCCAGCTTCTGTGAGCAGGGCCTGCCTCTTGCTCACAGCTTAACTTTGCTTCATATTAGCAAAGTCTTGACCATTACTTTAGTTCAGGCCTCAGGGCCTTCATTAGGCCTTTACTTACTACATTGCCTTCACTTACTACACAGCCAACCCAATTCCCACCCAGTATAAGACTTGGGGCTTCCCCCCCTGTCGTCCTGCTGGCGGGCATGTCTGCCCCAGGCCAGGCTCGGAGACACACGGGTGCTGTGCTCCAGGCAGTGGGTGTGTGGCTGTAGGGGCACATCGGGTCAGTAGGTGACTAAGTGGGGGCAGGGCCGTGTGGTGCGGAGAGGTGAGAGTGGCTGGTGTGGGAAGCGTGTATGCATGGGGGGTCCCCAGGGGGGCCTGCAAGCTGTTCTCTCCTTGCTCCAGAACTGCCAGATCTATCTGTGTGGCACCAAGAGCGACCTGTTGGAAGAGGACAGGAAGAAGCGGGGCATTGACTTCCATGATGTGCAGGATTACGCAGACGGTACGTCTCTGCCTTTCCTCTGAGCACACAGCTCTGCCCCAGGCTGGCCCTGGAGTGCTGCCCTGTCGCTCATGGTCACCCTCGCGCTCCAGGGGAGGTAGAGCTCTGGAGTCCCAGGGACCACCCCCCGTGCTCTGCTCTTAGCTTCATTTTATGCCAGTCAGGTGGCGCCTGTCATGTTAGTGCCAACTCAGCAGGCAGAGAGGGGAGCCAGCATTCACCTGCAGAGCAGGAGAGGGAAGGGAAGGGAAGGGCTTGGCTTGATTCGCCATTAGTTTTCCTGCACACTTGGGGGGAGTTAAGCAGGAGCTGGGAATGTCACAGTAGGAGCAACTCAGTGCACTGAGCCTGTGCCCTGCTGCCAAGTTCAGAGCGTGTCCCCACCCACAGAAGTGTCTTGGGCGGGTCAGGGCCCTGGCTGGTGGGAGAGGGTGCTGACCAGTCGCACCAAGCCAGCTGGGGAGTGGCGAGGAGCCGGGCAGAAGCAGCACTTCCTGTCCTTGGGGGGGCTGGAGCCAGGTTGTTCTGACTGCCTTGGTGACCCTGGCAGCAGCCCTGGCTTCAGGGTGGTTACCAGGAGGAATCCGGGGTGGTGGGGAACCTGCCCTCTCCCCCATGCAGACAGCACAGGCACCCTCTGGCACTAACCTGTTTGTGTTTCAGAGATTAAGGCTGAGCTCTTTGAAACCTCCAGTAAGACAGGCCAGAGCGTGGGTGAGTTACCCCTTGGCCCCGGCAGGTGCTTGGAGAACAGCAGCCATAGTGGGGGGAGGGGAAAGGGGAGGGTCGCTGTCTTGGCCATCTTCCTACCAAACTATCCCTGCGCATCCACCCCAGGCGTGCTTGGGAGCTGGCTGCTGTGGGGCTGTGTGGGACAGCAGGGCCAGTGCGGGAGGGGAGGGAGGGAGGGCAGTTCAGCAGAATTACTTGTCTCCTGTCAGGGCTAATGCAGGGAGCAGTCTGTGGAGACCCCAGGTCCCATAATGCCACGCTCTGGCTTGGCTCCATGCTGGGACCCCGGGCTGCAGGCTGCACAAAGGCATTATAGGAGAAGGCCCGTGTGGGTCACAGCTGGCCCTTGGGCCTTGCCCCTTTGGCTGCCTCCATGGTGAAGCAGATTCTGCCCCACTCCTCTAGTGCTGGAGGGTGAGTGCAGTTTACCAAGTGAAGTTCCCTGCAGTGGGTTGTCTGCCCAGGGCTTCGCATCAGTGCCCACACTGGGGAATTGTCTGTTCCTGGGAGCTCGAGGGCCTGGCCCCACTACACTTGTGCTAGGAGTGCAGAGGAGATGCTCATTCTCCTCTTCCTGTCCCAGATGAGCTGTTCCAGAAGGTGGCTGAGGATTATGTCCAGCTCATGGCCTTCCAGGTGATGACAGGTGAGTGGCAGGAGAGGACCCGCTGCCTTATGTCCCACCCACCGGCTGAGTCAGGGGCAGTGCAAACCTTTTCCACTCGCTCTCAGCTGGTGTAGGTTTGTCATGCTGCCTGAGGGGAACATACTCATGTAGTGGAGCAAGCGGGTGGCACTTCCCCTTCATTAATGCTCCCAGTTCAGCCCAGGCCAGGCCTATGTTCAGGGCATTTGCTTCCTCGCAAGGTTCCGAGGTTGGGTGGTTCCTGAGCTCCCGGTGTGCAGGGAGCAGCAGCTGGCCGCTGAGTCCCACGGCGTCCCTGCAGGGTCTGTTCTCAGGCTCCGAGGCGAGATGCACCCAGCCAAACCTGAGAGGAAATGCTGGGACTCAGCACAGCTTGCAGCCGTGGTGCTGGCTTCCCCCTTCCCCTCCATCTGTCAGCAGGGACTATGTCCCCACCCGCTGCTGGAGAGATGCAAGACTCCTGTGTGCTGGGGTGCGGGAAGGAGGGATCCCCCAAGGGCCAGCGCCAGGGAGAACAGGTTGGTGTCTGGTGCCGGTGAAGGGGGCATATGCTATGGCGGACGGCGCTGGCCGGACGAGCTGCGAGTTAGCTGGAATTTTAAGGGGCTGCTGTCAACCTGAAAATCCCATTTCCATCTGCACACACTGCACCTGCTGCTGTTCCAGGGTGACTAGAGCTGCAGGCTGGAGAGAAACACTCTCTCGAGTTGTCGTTGCGTCAGTTGCATTTCCTATCCCATGCTCTGCTAGCAGGGGGAGCGCTCGGCCTTGCACTCCTCAGCCCTGGGAGGGGGGCTGCTGGGGAAGAGGCAGCAGGCAGGCGTGGGCCCACAGGGGCCTAACCCAGAAGATCAGCAGGAAACCCTGCGGGAATTGTTCTTTAGGTTGAGGGCTCCCGGATTCAAGGGGCTGTGATCAGAGAAGTGGATTCTAAGAACTGTTCCACTCGTGTCTCTTCCCTAAGCTCTGTCTGCTGCAGTCTGGTACCCACCTTCACGTCCTTAGTTTAGCAGAGGCTGGCTCTGTGGGCGGAAACTGAGCACCCTGCTGAGCTGGGCACAGAAGAGGCAGCAGCCCCCTTTCACTCGTCTTCTCTTTCCAGAGGATGAAGGCGTAGACCTGAGCCAGAAGAACAGCACCTACTTCTACAGCTGCTGCCACCACTGAGCGCGCCTCCTGCTGCCAACATAAAACCAGCCCGCTGGGTTCGCAGGTCCTGCTCTTCGGACTGTGTGTTTTCTGCCTGCTGTACGTAAGCTGTAGGGAATGCCTGGCCCCTGGCAGCATGGAGTAGGGGATCCCCTGTGCCTGGCTCTCCCCTCCACTGGACTTGACAAGCAAAGCTGCTGGGCTCCTAAAAGAGACTCAGACCCTGTTCCACTTTCGGCAGGACTCGGCTGCCTTGTGATGGACACCAGGTGCCTGCACATTAGTGAAGAGTGTTTGGAATAGCTGCTTTCCCTGGCTGGCTCCTTGCAGCTCAGGTCACGTGTAGCTGTGGCCAATGTGTTCCCTGGGATATGTTGCCTGATTCTTTGTAGGTTATTTAAATGGCTTCTATTAAGTTATATACATGTAAATAAAGTGCATTGTGATCCATGAGGCCAGCTGGGTGTTCTTGGGGAAGCCAGGACAGACAGAGCTGGGGCTGTGGGACCTGTGGGGATGTTCTGCCTGCCACAGGAGGGAGGAATGTGTCCTTTCAGCAGCAGCTGACCAGGAACCTGCACCGCCCCCCGTGGCATGAGGACGTGGCCCCCAGGCCCAAGGTTTTCACCTCCTCCAGCTCCCTGTTTGCATTCCTGTCGTGCCTCTCTAACCTCTTCTAGTCCCATCACCCTGGCGCTGCTGCACTTGCACCACAGCCAGGCTGAGTCCGGGTAGGAGAGATGCTTAGGCAAAGGCTCTGAAGAGCTTCTCGAAATCTGTCCCTCCCCTGGCAGAAGTTGTGCCTGAACTGACAGGGATGGCAGCGGGGCTGATTCACAGCTCTCCTGCCCCTGGCTGGCTTACAGAAGCCCAGGACTGGCCCAGTGCTCTCTTGCCACAATACTCAGCACTAATCTTAGCCTTATCCACCAGCTGGATCTGATGCGGTGCTGGTGAAATGCAGGAGCCCAGCTTAAACAGTTCCCTCCCAGTGTAGGTGAGCCTGGCTGGTGCCTCAGTTTCTCACTGGGTAAGTGTACTGGAGAATAAAATAAAGCTCAGGCTCAAAGCTCTGTGGCTGAAGCAAAAGTAGAGATAGGATCAGGTCCCCTCCTTTATCCCAAGCTCTGCCTGTTTCTTCTCCAGTACCACAGATAAGAGACGTTCTTGACTGATTTCCAGGCCAGGCTGCAGCAAACCCTCAGGACAGGCCTTAGCAATTCAACACCTTTGATGGCTCCCCCTGGCCCCAGGGCCCTTTGCCCGCTGCTTGGCTCTGGGGAGCAAGTGGGAAGCTTACAGTGGTCCATGCTGCCTTCAGCGCACACACCAGGATCTCAATTCCTTTCCACATACCCAGCACTGTTCTTGATCAGCCAATCTACCCTCCCACCATGCTGCTTTGTAAACACTGGAGCACGGCCGCCCTGCCACATGGGTAACGGTGTTGTCAGTACCAACCTGAGCTGTCTTCTCAGACACGTGAATGGCTGCAGCCACCACTATGAACATTTCTTCCTGAGAGGGAGGCTGGGCCTGACACCCTGTGAGTACCGGGCAGTGCTGGTGCAGTGGATTCTTTTGTGCACTGGCAGCCTCGTGCTGGTGGCCCCAAAGACCTGGATGTTGTGCTGTTTCTCCCCAGGCTGCTGTGCCTTCTTTCGGAGAGGCAGAAGAGATTTCTCAGCATCTCATTCTGCAGATGTGATCTGCTCTCTCCCACTCAAACATTTCAGTGGGCAGTTGCTGCTGGAGTCGGAGCCTTTGGCATCTCTTGGAATAGAAACCTAGCACCCAGCCCGAGCTCTCGACCCTTGTTCTTGCCTGCACTAGTGTAGCGTGCCTCTGTCCCTGAGACTAGCCTAGACCCCGGAGCTTAGTGACGACTGGCTCGCGGTGTCTGAGCTAGAGGCTAGCCCATCACAGGGGGGTGCCTGAACTGCTCCCAGGCCATCGCAAGGTAACTTCCACTCACCCCAGTAAGTCCTGCAGAGGAGCCAACAGGATGCACAACATGGACATCTAACCCCACTCTTGCCCTTACAGGCTCAATCCCCAAGACCAGCACTTCCTGGGTGTCAACTCCAGCTGGGAATCCCAGAGACGGTCAGAGCCTCCAATTTTCTGGACTCCAAAGCATTAGATTAAAAAAATGAAAACTTCAATGGTGGCAGTAACATGACTCAGACTCACTCAATTCTGCTTTTCGGTTTAGCTCATTTGCCACGTAAACTCTGCCATTAGGCACTACAGAAATAACCATGTTGGAATGAGCCTACCATTACCTTCCCCCGAATGGCAGCTTGCCCTACTGGGGGAGCACTGACCATCTCAAAGAGCAGTGCTCTAACCGGGGGGGTCTACCAATTTCTTCACAGCGATGTGTCCCCAGCCAGGAGAGTCGGGTAGCTGAGCCGACCTCTCTGGGTGAGACTGGAGGGGGAGATGTCCGTCCACTCCCCGGCAGCGCTCCTTGCAAGCCGTCACTGCACAGAGATACAGGGAGAATCTCATGCTGCTTGTTAAGCAGCATCTGCCCAACCTCAGTGAGACAAAACACACACGACAAAGTCAAGAGTAAAGTTAAACTTTACTTTACAGTAATTGTTTTCTTCTATATACAAAGAATTACAGTACATGTTCTGGGAGCACCTGGAGAAGGCCAACCCTCTTTTCATTATCATAAGTTTCACATACACAGCCAACAGTCTAAGGGGAGCAAAGTGAAATTAATCAATGGTCCGAGACACTCCCCTTCTCCCTCTTCTAAAAATAATAGATATATACTGTAAATATAGACGCCTCTCTCGCTCCATCGCATGTTCTTTGTACAGGACGTGGGGCAGGTGAGACCAGGCGAGTTCTGTGTAACACCATTACATTAGACAATCTTTCACAAACTCCCATGTGCTGTGCTCATCCACCATCCACTGCTCCCTGCGCGAGCACAGTCATGGCAGACCACAGTGATACTTGGCAACCCCTTCCTGCAGTTGTTACTCAGGCACTATTCCCAGTTACTTCAGTGGAAGTTTTGCTACAGCATGGGCCCTGCACAATGTCCATCTCACCAGCCCCAGGGCAACCAGTGTGCGTGTGTGAGGTCTGACATGACGTTCGGGGTAGGAATGCTATCATGCATATTCTTCATTCAGCTCGTTAGCACTAATCACACTGGAGCAATTTGCCTCTACCGCCCCCCTCCCTGCTGCGTGACCTTGGGGTGTTAGTCCTAACCTCTTAGTTCCTGGCCTACGGGCGGAATATCACGCTCCCAGCTGCAGCTAAGGAAGAGGAGTGTCGTTCAAGCACACAGCGCTGGCAGTGCCCCACACGGGGGAGGGGCGCTTCGCTTTTTACAAACATTACTCCCCTGTGCATACAAACCTGATCAATCCCTCATGTTTCATCATTTATTCCTCCGGGCAAGGAGGGGAACCCCTCCCTGGGTCACAGCAGACAAGGGCCCTGCAGGGGCACATCTTGCTCCAGTTGCTGAACGTGGGGAGGGGTCAGAAGAGCATTGCCCTGCAGGCTCTGACACCTGTTCAGTCCTGGGGGTCGCACTGCAGGCAGGGGGGGGGAGGAAGGAGCTACTGGACTGATACAAGCCTAGTGCAGTGTTTGGGAGAACCAGTGCAACGGGAAAGCACAACTTCTGCCAGTTCTGCCATGGCGGGGGGGCTAGGCCAAGGGGGCAGGGTTAGGATCTTGTCAGAGCGGTGTGCACTTTCCAGCAGGCGCCCCTGCCCTAACAGTGGCAGATTTGGGGGCAGGGGGCAGAGTGCCAAGTGTACGCAAGGCCAGACCTCTGCTGCCCAGAGCTCCGTGAGCAGCTCTCACTTGCTAACACACTAACAGCACTTCCAGCACCATTAGCCCCTGCCCAGCTCAAGGCCGTGATCTCGCTAACGCTCTCATTCCGTTCTCCTGTGTCTGACTGAGTGGTTCTCAAACTCCTGTATCATAGGGGTCTGCAAGCAGCTTAACTGACTTCATTCCAACCCTTTATCCTCCCTGCAGACGCCAACCGAGCATGCTGACTGGTCAGTTTGCTTTACAGGTTCCCAGCATAAAGGGAACACCAACCCGCTGGCACCTT